ATTATGTTGGCTGTTGGACTGTCATAGATGGCTTTTTCTATTTTATTGTATTTGGTTGTTACAAGGTCTCACTACACAGCTCAGACTTATAGTGATCCTCCTGTTTTCAGCCTCCCCAGCAATGGGATTATAGGCATATGGTGCTAAGCCCAAACTGGCTGGCTCCGCCCACCCTGGGGGCAGGGCTGGCATGGTATGTGGTGCCGGGGATCAAACCATGGTCCCTGTGCTTGCCTAAGCTTGTGTAAACAGGTGCTTTAATCTGCTGAGCTATCTCAGTGGCCCCTCATAGATAGCTTTCATCAGATTTATTTTTATTTTTTAAAAATATATAATATAATAACCATTGTTAATTTCCTATTACCTTGCTTTGAAATTCTTTTCATCAGATTTAGGTAAAGGCCATGTATTCCAATTTTCTGTAGGGTTTTGATCATGAATGAGTTTTACATAGTCAAAACTAATGTTTTACATAGTCAAAAGCATTCTCTGTATCAATTGAGATGATCATGTGGTTTTTGGTTTTGGCTCTATTTACATAGTATATGGTGTTTATAGATTTGTGTAAGTTGAACCATCCTTTCAACCCTTTCATGAACCCTACCTGGTATATAATCTTCTTGATTTGTTGTATTGTATTTGACAGGATTTTATTGAGGACTTTTTTTTTTTTTTTCTGGAACCGGGGATTGAACTCAGATCCTTGCACTTTCCAGGCAAATGCTGATTCTACTGAGCCATCTTCCTGGCCCCCTATTGAGGATTTTTGCATCTATGATCTTGAGGGTGATTGACCTGTAGTTCTCTCTTTTTGTTGCATCTTCCTCTGGTTTCATTTTATTATTTTTTCCCCATAATTTCATTGAGAAACAAATAGCAATGAGACAGTTTCAAACCAAATTAGGAGGACAATTTTAATAATTAACATATTGCATACATTCTTCCTAGTGGTTAATTGCTGTACAAGATGCGGACTTGATATCCTATTTACAAACACCATTAGAACAAATCCCTCTCTTCATTAAAAGAATGTAA